TAAAATTGTTTGACGTTGGGTTTCTTGCTTAGATGAGGTCATTTTAATGCTTAATAAATTAAAATTTTTACTAACGTGTGAGAAAAGTTTCGTTTGGAGGTGATAGAGTAATCATAGGGCTTTCATTTGCATATTTATTTATGTATGTACGACCAAAATTGGGCTAGTTACATAATGACGATCTACCGCAGTAAAAATTGTCATTTTTTTTGCACACCACTGTATAAAAGAGAGATGAATATTTCCTTCCATTTTTTTCCCCCTCCTTTTATTAAAAAAAAAAAAAAGATAAAAAAGATGTTTCGAATTACAATGATAAGACATCTTGTTATTTTTTCATCGATTCTATCCTTATGCCTTACGCAAAATATGGAATTAGATATTTTAACAAATATACAAAATAATGTGCAATTACAAATGTTTGCTGTAGTAACAGATCTGGCAAAAAAACTTCCAATCATTGAAGAAACGATAGGTAACGGAATGAAGTATACAATTTTTGCTCCATCAGATCAAGCATTTGCCAAAGTAGGAAAATTAAGTGACGTTGCTATCGATAATATGTTAAAGTATCATATCATTCCTAAAGAGGCGAAATCAACTGATTTCATTGGTATTCAATATGAACCAACACTTGTTGATTCTCCAGACTTTGTAAAGTTAACAGCAAAGGCAAAACAAAAACTTATCATTAATAATGAAGGTGAAGCGCTTACCATTAGCAATGGAAATGGCGATGTAGGAAAGGTGGTTGGTGCCGATAATGTCGCAAGTAACGGGATCATCCAAATCGTTGACGCAAGTGAGTAATCAATCAAAAAAAAAAAATTTAACGAACCAACCCTTGTTAAAATTTATCCCATCTTATTTTAGTTATCGAGCTACCAAAAAGTCCAATGAGCGTAATGGGTCAAAGAAAAGACATAAATGGTTTTGGAAAATTAATCATCGCAGCAGGCCTTGGAAACTTACTCGACGGATTGATAGGAGCCACAATATTTGCACCATCAAATGAAGCGTTGACAAAAGTGCATCATGAATTGCTCACTAGCAACAATTTAACACGGCTTACAAGTATAATTCGACATCATATCGTACCAGATAGAGTAGTTTTTTCGGGTGTATTATTAGAAGGAGCTTCGGACAATTTAAAAAGTTATGAAGGATCTACAATTCCGATTTCAAAAATAGGAAAGGTGCTTGCGATCGAGAAATCAGTCGTAATTACTCCCGATATTTTATTAAATAATGGAATTTTACACGTGATCGATGAACTTCTTTTGCCACCTGGAATTAAACTCACACCTGACGAGTCCGCAAAATCACCACCAAATAATTCAAACGATACAAACGATTCAAAAAAGGAACCTATTCCATCTGAAGATGACGGTAATAACGGTTCTACTATTATCATTGTTTCCGTATTAGGAGGATTTTTTGGTATATTCGCGGTTACCGCATGGATATTAATACAACTTAAGAGAAGACAGAAAACCAAATTTTTTAATAAACATCTTAATAATGATGAAAGTTTTGCTACTCAAAATGATAGATTTAGTAATCAAAGTTTTGGAAATGTAATTACGGGTCACGGTAATACGAATCAAGAAGCGATTTCTCCTAATGACGATAACTCGAATGTGAGAAATGATAGTAGGAGGAATACAAACCTTGGTGCGATTTCTCCTAATGACGGTAACTTGAATGTGAGAAATGATAATAGGAGGAATACGAACCTTGGTGCGATTTCTCCTAATGACGGTACCTCGTATGTGAGAAATGATAATAGGAGGAATACGAATCAAGGTGCGATTTCTCCTAATGAAGACACCATGAATTACGGTAGGAATTCGAACCAAGGTGCGATTTCTCCTAATATTGACAATAATATTATGATGGGAAATTATAACAATCGAGGCGTAGTTTCCCCAATTAATGATGAAAGGAATATTGTAAGTAATTTTAATACAAACAATAATAATAACAATAACAGCATATTTTATGGTAATAATTATATGCCTCATTATACCCATAACCGTTAAATAAACCAATCACATCATTTGCATAATTACAAAATTATTGGCAACACCGCCGGTCATTTTTTTAAATTTAGAGACAAAAAAAAATCTTGTTCACGTGATCTCATAATTAAGATATTATTTCTTTTGCAATAACAAATCCTATCTGCTATAAAAAATGTAATTTTTAATATAAAAATTATATATTCTCATGAAGAAATAATCGACTATATCATTTGATTATAAAAATCAACAAATTTGCATAATAAAATGTATTTGTTTCTGATTTGTTAGATTCAAAGATTCAAAAATTTTAACATTAAAATTTTCATGATAATCCATCTTGTCGGATTTGATATTAAAATCTTTAACAATATTTAGAATATCATTTCAAGCTTTTATATTAAATCATTTTTATTATTGGTTAAATAGAATTTTATAATTGAATTTTCAATAAATAAAACTTTTAACAATCATATATTTATTAGTATGATTTTATCTTTAAAATAATAATTGCTTCAAAATTACAAATAATTTAAAATTAAAACAATACCTTAATAAGAAATTCAAATATTAAATAAACTATTATAAAAATAAATTGAAAAAATAATTATTTTCTTGTAACTTTAATAAAATATCTAAAATGTTTATATCATATTACTATATATATTATTTGACAATTAATTTTATATTCATTATAATTATAATAATAATCAGTAAATATAATATACAAAAAAAGTTGTTTAAAAATTTAAATCAATTTTCAATAAAAAATTATTATTAAAATAGGATTTGGTTTTATTTGAATTAGTAATTTTTCATATAAAAGTATAATAATATTTGGATTTGATTATATTAAAGACTAAATAATTATTTTTATTGGTCAGTCTATTAGGATCATGATGATTTTGATGGATTGATATTTTTGCTAATAGCTAAATATCAAATATAATAGACTTTTTATACTTTTCCAAATATTATTATTATAATAATATTAATTTAAAGTATGATTTTTTATGTGATTAATATAATAAACTAGTTATTGATTAAAATGAATAAAATATTGTGTTACCCCTTTAGGATGATTGATATTTTACTCTCTTAACTAATAACTATTATGATAAATTTTTCTTTAAAAAAATTTTAATTATTTTTTTTTTATTTATTAAATATTATTTATTTACTTTATTAGTATAAATATATTTTTATAATAAAAGAATTATTATAAAAATTATAAATTTTCCTTTTAAAATATCAATTTTTCATATTAAAATATTTATTTGTTAACTTTTAAATAATTAAGTAAATTTAATTATCAATTATTATATAAAATTTTATTTAATAATTTATATTTTTTTTTTTATAAAATTTACAAATTTTTTTAATAATTATATAAGTATTTTGCAATAAAAAAGAAAAACTTTAAAAAATTTTTTTTTCTTTTTACTATAAAATACTTATATTATTAATTATTATTATATTACATTTTTTTTCAACTATTTTTTTTTACAATTTTTATATTGTAAAAAACTTTTTTTCTTATTCTTTTACTATATATATTAAAATTAAAAAATATAAATAAATATAAAAAAGAATTTAAAAAAATATTGTAAAGATATTTTATTTATATTCAATATATCTATTATATTATTTATATATTTGAAATAAAAAGACTGAGATCACGTAAATAAATTCAAAAATTACTAATAAAAAATAGTAATTAAATTAAAAGATTTAAAGGATTTTAAAAATCTTTATTTAATCTAATATTAGTAATAGTTAAGGTTGCTTATCTAAACTCATTTTGAATTTATTAAAACTTTAATTTAACTAATTTTTTACTAAGGTTTTAATATAGTTTCATATTTTAATATAATTTTATTATTCAGAATTTTGCTAAATTTTAATAAGACTTTAATAAATTTTACTTATTTCTATTTAAACAGTTTATAAAGCTTCTAAATTTAGTCTAATAACTTTAATAATAGTTAAATCTATATATCTGTTAAATTCTAATTTAAAATAAAAAAGAAATTTGATTAATTTAATAGTTTAAATTATAATAATTTAAACTTAACTTTCTTTAATTATTAAAATATACTAAAAATTTTTATTTTTTATAGATAGTTCATCAAATTTAAAATATTATTTTAATATATTTATATTATTATATATAAATAATTAAATAAGTAAATTATTAATAAATCAATAAAATTATTAAGAAAATCTAAAAGTTTAATAAGTTATTTAAATAATAAAAGATAAAAATTTAGTAAAATTTAAAAAAGATAAAATTATATTAAAATAGCAAGATTATATATAAACTTAATAAAAAGTTATTAAACTAAATTTTTAAGATTTTGGTAACTTTAAAATAAATTTAAATAAATAATCTTAATTATATAATAAAAAATTAAATTAATTAATTTATATAATATAAGTTTTATTTTTTAATAATTAATTTATAATAATAAATAATAAGTTTTTAAAATAATAATATTTTGACTAATTAAAACTTAAAAAAAAAAATCTAATAATTTGATTATAATTAAATTGTAAAATATTAATACTGATTTATAATAATTTATTTATGATTAAATTTAATTTAAAAAAAATTAGAATTTATATTTATTAAATTTAATATAAATCAAACTGTTTATAAGTTAAAAAAGCTAGCTTATCTAAGCTTAGTTTGAGCTATTTTAGAATATAATTTATTCTTAATATAGTAAATTTTAATATAATGAATCATATAATATTTAATCAATTAAATATGTCAATTTTTTTTTTTTATAATAAAATAACTAATTAAATTCTTTAAAATCTTTTATTAACTTATTATAATAAATTTATAAATAGAATAGCTGCTTTGCTATATTAAAGGTAGACTATAAGTTATAAATTAAATAAGTAAACTTATATCATAACTTGGTTCATAATACAGCTAGTTTTATTAGCTTGCATTTTTTTTTAAAGAAATATTCAAAAAGTATTTTCTTTAAAAAAATACAGATTTAAAAGTATTTTAATTTAAAAAATACACTCAATAATATTCTTTTGAAGAAATACAACTCTGAAATTATTTTATTTAAAGAAAAATACATCTAGTAATATTTTTATAAAGAAAATTAATACTGAAATTAAAAAATGCATCTGTGATATTTTTTTAAAGAAAATGCACTTAATGATATTTTCTTTAAAAAAATCTACTTTTACATATTATCTTATAAAAATTACTTATAAAGTGATTTTGTTAAATAAATTGTTTATTAAACAATTTCTTTAAAAAAAATTCACTTTAAATATTTTCTTTAAAGAATTTTATTTTTAGAATATGATTTTAAAGAAATTCATCTTTAAGATAAAATTTTATAATTTTATTTTTATATAATTTCTTATAAAAAAAACTTGTTTCTCTTTAAAAAATTCACTTTTAAGTCAAATATTTTATATTTAAAAACTTTTCTTTAGAAAAAATTGTTTTAGTAATATTTTTTTAATTGGAATCATTTTGAAAATATTTCTTTTAATAGGAATCATTTTAGAAATATTTCTTTTAATAAAAATTATTTTAAAAATATTTCTCTTAATAAAAATAATTTCATAAATATTTTTTAATAAAAGCATTTCAGAAATATTTTTCTTAATAGAAATCATTATAAAATATTTTTATCAAATTATATAATGCAAATGAGCTGATTTATAATCTGAATTAACTTGATTTGAATTGTTGATTAATTATCACAAATTAAACTAAAATAATAGTAATTAAACTTAAAAATAAAATCTAAAATATAAAGCACAAAAAATTAAGAATTGATTAGAATCTTGTAATATTATTATTCTTAATTGCTTTGCTTAATCGTCTAATTTAAACCTGATTAAATATATATGAAATAAAGTAAAGATATACTTATGAAAGATTTATAAGCTAATTAAAAATATAAATGAATTATAAAATAAATATAAATAATATAAAATAACATTGAAATTGATATTTATAAAAATTAATTAACTTAATGCCTGAATAAGTTAAAAATATTATAAATTAGAAAGGTAATTATATATATTAGTAATTTATAAAAATTAAGAAAAAAGATTAAAGTTTATCATAAATAATTAAAAAAAAATAATAAGTATTATATATAATACTTATTTTTTTTTTATTTTATTTTTTTTTAAAATTTTTTTTAATTTATTATTAATAAAAAATTTAAAAATATATAATTTTTATTTACTTTTTTTATTTTTTTATCTATTTCTTTTTGATTTTATTATATTCTATTAATTTTATTTATTTTTTCGATTAAATTAATTTTTGCATTAAAGCTTTTAATAAGTTTTATTTTTATTTTATTTTTTATTAATAGAATGATATTTTTTGTGAAAATTTTTTAAAAAATAAAATATTTGTATTTTTTGAATTAAGTAAAATAATAAAAATAAATTTAGTATTTATATATTATATTATTTATTTATTATTTTTATAATTTTAAAAATAAAATTAATAGCTTTTTATATAAATAGTTTACTTAAAATTATTATATAATTTATATTTACAAATAATCCTAATTCATAACTTTTTAAATAGTAGTATTCATATAATTATAGATGAAATTATATGAAGTTAAATAATCTGCAGAATATTATATTATGTGGGTTGATTGCTAGGAAAATTAGGTTTTGGGAATTTTTTAATAAAATTGAGATTTTTATTACATTTTAGTTTTTTGATGTTATTAGATTAAAATGTATTAAGCTCTTAATTTAAGTTAAAAACTTCTCAGAACCTGATTTTTCTAGAAACTCTCTTATATACTTGTATTTTTTATAATTGTCATTATATATATCATATTTTACTGAAAATAAATATATTCTAAAAATAAGTATTAATATATTTATATAATACCTGAAAATAAACATATTTATAAAATTTATTGTAAAATTATACTAAATATATTATAATGTGATAATATTTATAATAAAATAATAAGCTATTATAATTTGTTAAAAGTATTATTACTAATAACTTTATCATTAGTTTCATTTATTACTAATTTTTCAATTTCTAATTTTATATTGATTTTCAATTCAATATTGATTTTAATTTCTAATTTCTCAGTTTTTATTTCTTTATCAACTTCTGAATTATTTCTAATTTTTTTCTAACTTTATTAGAATTTAGCAATAAATCTGTTATATAAAATTTCTTAAAAGATTCAATAATATTTCTATTAGAAATTTTCTTTATAATTATTTAATCTAATTGCATACTTTACTTATTTGAATACACTAAAGATTTTTATTAGTAATATCTAATACTACTACTTATTATTCACAATTTCACTCTTTATAAAGGTTATTCTTAAATAGTTTATTAATTGCAATATCAAGAAACTAATAAATACTTATTAATCTATTAGGTATTACTATTAAATAAATATTACTTCACAAAATTTATTTTTAACTGATTTTTTTAAGTAGTCTTTAAATGAGTTGTATATTAATATTATAAGATTCTAAGTCTATTATTATTAAAATAATTAATATAATTCTAATTAACATCTATCTATCTATTTTTCTGAAACTAAACTATTATATTAGAAAAAATTTTTTTATTATGTATCAATCTCTTTCTCTTAAATATATAAATTAGAATAATTTAATTTTATTTTATTAAGTAAATTTAAATTTAGTAAGATTAAAATTTTATAAATTTGTAGGACTTATTAAAATTTACATAATAAAGTCAAAATTTTAAAAACTTATTAATAGAGCATAAAAATAACTATAAATCATTTTTTTTATTTTCTATCTCACAAATATATTATTACACCTAAAGATGATATGTAAAATAATCTACAAAAATTAAAAAAGGATGATCAATTTGTATAATAATAAAAGAATTTGCATTTGTATTATTAAATTAAATAGATAAATGATCTGCATTTCTTATTTTTCAAATTTAGTAATTATCATTTAATTCATTAATGACATTTTCTTCATTTTATTTACTTATTTTATTTTATGTATTTAAATTATTTTATCTATTTTATTTATTTTCTATATTTTATTTAGTTTATTATTATTAGAATATATTTTTATATAAATAAGAGTAGTTCGTTAATGTAAAAATAAGATTGAAGTCTTGTCTTGTAATAAATTTTTAATAAATAAATTATTTAGTATAGATGTACTAACAGAAGCAATACTAGTCTTTATTTATTAAATAATTAATTGTACGCATTACACACATTTATCTCATTTATCTTTATTTCTTTTATCTTATATCACTATTTTTAATCTCTGTATGAAGGAAACCTTCTGCTAAATCGTAATATTGCAGATAATTTACTTATAATCTAAAAGAACTAGCATAACAATATACTGCTTTTTACTTTTTTGATTAATTATATAAATTACCTGCTATATCAAACTAATAAGCATTTTATCTATATTATAGTATTACATATTTTAAAAAACTTTTCTATTTTAAGTTAAGTAATACATTTATTAAAATTCTTTAATAATTCTTTAGTATATTCTGTAATTTCTGAAATATTTATATATTAATACAAAATCAACTAATATCTTTTTAAAAATTTACGTAATCAAATAAGTGACATCTTAAATTATTTATTGAATTATAAATAGTTGTTATACTTAATTTACTTAAAATTTTTTATTTTATTTGTATCATAAAGTAAGATTCTTACTTTTATTATCTAATAATTTAATTATACAATATTTTTTAATTTTAGGATATAAAGTTTTTTAACTAACACTAATTTTTTTTTGCTATTTATCTCAGTTATGTTTATTCTAACCTAATGTATAATTATATTAAAATATTAAGATTAAAATAATTTGTCATTATATATATATTATATTATTTTGCATAATTAATAACTTCTCTTTTCTTTTCAATAAAATATGAAATTTGTCTAATAACCTTTTTAATAACTTTTCTAATAACTTTTTTATTTTATGATATTATTATTCTTAATAGATTTAAAATAGGTTTGTGTATCATTAACTAAGATAAGATAATAATCATTAAATGAAATTTATTATAGCTTATAAAAAAATATACAAATTTAAATTATTCAAAAATAAATACTTTTATAATAAAAAAAGGTATACTTATTTTTAGTAAAATATGATATTAATATAATTAAAAAAATAAAAATATTAAAGAATTTGTTTGTTATTCAAATAATTATAACTTTTAAATAATTAATTGATATTTTTTTTATTTAGCTTAAAATTGCTAATAATAGCTAAAAAAAAATTATGTCAAGAATTGTAATAATTAATATTTTAAAAAAACTAAAATAAATTATTATAATATTTATTTTTAAGAATGGTTTATTTTATATCTATTTAATATATTATAAAAATTTTTAATGTTTCTTATATTTTTATTATATTTAGAAAAGAGTTTTATTATATAATGATTAATTAATTAATTATTTTTACTATATATTAAAAATACTGTTTTCAATTTATTTTTAAAGTTAAATAACTTTGATTAAAATATTATAAATTATAATATACTAATATTTTATATATAGATTTAATTATTATAAAGCAATAAGATATTACAATCAACTCTTGATATAGTAACTTTTAATATAACAAATTTTTTGAATAAAAATAATAAAAATACTCTTGTTATAGTGAATTTGCTAATCAAATCTCTTAAATCTACTATAACCTTATAGTAAAGTTGAGGTCTAGAACATATAGTTCATTATAATAAAAGTTGACTGTACTTTTAGAATTTGCATTATTATTAAGTGAAGTTTTAGAAATAATGTTTTACAATATATATAAAATGTATTGTTTTTAGATTAATTAGGTTTAATTGAAAAATTCTGCATAATAATATGCACTAATATTTTACACATATATTCATATTATTAGAATTAGTATTAAATAAAATTTGTTATATAATTAATATATTTAGTATTATTATTAATAATTAGCAAATACCAAAAGATTTTTACATATATAGGAATTTTGCTAGAAAAAGAGAATTTTTTGACTAAATTAAAATTTTATTACATTCTAATCTAATAATATCAAAACTAAAATGCAATAAAAATCAAAGTTTTATTAAAAATTCACAAAACCTGATTTTCTAGCAATCTTCCTATATATTAAACTTAAAATATTTAGCATACTATTTAAAATAAAATAAATAATTTTATATTTTAATATTATCTGTTATTAATTTTATTTCCTTTACATTAATCAAAATTATATAAAAAGCTTGATAATATTTTATTAAATGATAAAAAAAATTGGAGTGAATTGAGCTGGTTTTATTTCACCATACATTCCTAATAGTTAATGAAAATATAATGAAAATTTCAGAATTCGCCCGAATATCTGCGGTTTCGCCCGAATCTTTAAAGTCAACTTTTAAAGATGATTGGCATATGCGATAATTTGCTAAAATTTGTGTTACGATTTTTTTACACGTATTATTTTATTAATAAAAATTTACTCAAGCATTTATGAAATATATATGATCTACAAACGCTACAAACGATCAGCAAGATGACGTTCAGTGATGCGAATGACGCGTCTCTGGATAAACATGGATTAGTAATGAAAATCGAGATCTCGTCAACCCTGAATATTTCAACTGAAAAGTAAAATCCGATTAACGGATTAACGAATTGTCACTGACTACAGCTAACTAAGCATAACTTTATAAAAATACGCAAAATAAAATTATATAAGTCTGTTATATATGATAAAATTAAACATATGGGACCTTTGCAATAATAGAAAAGGGGGAAACGGCTGGATAAAATAAAAAATGAGTTAATGCTAAATCTGAACATATTTTGACCTAAAAATCATATTTGGCATATAAAAGTAAAATTGATTTTTTCCGGCTGTTTCCCCCCTTCCTATTGCAAAGGTCCCATAAGCTGACCCATTAAATAATATTTATTATACTGTAATATTTGCGTATGAGCTCAAATCAATTTCCAAAGCATACTGCTTGACCCGATCTTTTACCCAGTGCGGTTTAGCCTTGGCAACAGTTTTTTTGGAGGTATAAAAGGGTTGTGTTCGGTAATTCATGTACAAATTCTTTGGTAGGACAAAATAAAAGAAAATGTCACCCATCCCTGACTTGCCACCTAATTTATCGATAAGTTTTTTCAAACCATTCAACTTAATAGGGTGATTCTTAGCAATAGTTATCTGAAAAAGTTTATCAGGTGCAACAATTGCATCTATTGATTCAAAATTTTGATTCATTGGTTGATAATACTTGCTGTATTCGATAGTATCGATTGTAGAAAACATAAGTTTCTTATCCTGTCTAGGCATATTAATGTAAAAGGATGTTGATGTAGTGGATGCATGGTCTAAAAGACGAACCCTGAAATTTCCTCCATTTTGTAGGATCCGGTGAGAAAACTGTCCAAAAGTGCTGCCCAAAAGTGGATTACTTATGCCATCTGATAAGCTTGCATTCAGTTCGTTGCGTAATTTGTTCATTAAGACATCTTGAAGTTTCTTGGTTACTAGTTTCATAAACATAATAAGACGCATATTTTATAATTGTCTGCGTATAGGGACTTTTATCATTTTCACAGCCTATGCCCGCCGCTTCAATTTCCTCATCGTCGACATCATCACCGCTTTCAACGCCTTTATCGTTTTCGTCTTCGATATCATCGATAGGGACGTTAGTATAGATATGGAGGAGCTTATGACTCATATGATCACTTTCGCCAATATAATTCAGTACTCTTTCATCGCATGGCATGTGTCAATTGCGACTTTTGCTGAGATTCATCATAAACCTTCTCTAAGACGAACTGAGGAATTCCTCCCCATTGAAAAAATAATTCTTCAACAATACTTTCCTTAAGATTATTGAAGATCTTATTCCTACATATGTTGATTTCTTCCCATGTCCAAACAGGCATATACCCGTATCGTCGTCCCAATATACTTATCAAAGTTTCTATAATGATCTTTCCTGGGCGAACAGACAATTTTTGCATCAACTCTCTTTGGTTCTTTGCCATACACGATATACCAAACTTCGGGGTTACTTTGGTATTGTCTAATAACGGATTTGTCGTCAATATAAAAGACTTCTTCTTTGTCAAAAACAATTAATCCATTCGTAGCATTGTTGTCGTATATAATCGTTTTCTTTTCGTTTGCAAGTAGATAAAGCAAATAATAACTGAACAAAGTTTTTCCAATACCGGGATTTCCGGTGATACGCAATCTTTGTATTTCCCTATTAAAAGCAATGTCGGCTAGGTCTCGATAGCATCTACGGATGAATATGGTGGTTGGTTCTAATGATTCTCCTAAAAAATGTGTGTCTCAGGGAGTTCCGGGTGCAGTAATCTTTGCATCCTTTAAATTTTTCCAAAATTTATTCAGTTTTTAGGAATCATAAAGAGATACAAATTAAAAAATGAATTGACAGCCGTAGGTTTGTTATATTCGAATAAAGTCATGGTACTTACCCTTATCCTGTTCTTCAATAATGATATTGTGATTTTGGGGCGGTGTTTGATTAGGGAAGAGAAGCAAGAGATTAAGTATTCGATATTAGTAAATATACAGCGCAGATTAGAATGAAGCAACGGCAATAGCGAGAGGCATAAAACGATAAACTAGAACCTACTTTGATTGTTTAAATTATTAATTAGCTCAAGAAGCGACACTCTTGGTCCTATCCGGATGCCACATTCTTTAAGCAATAAATTAGTTAACCTAAGAAAGGTATAACCAACTTTCGTCACGAAGATTTTGAATTTCAACTTCGTTTAGTCCCAAGTTCTTTCCTCGTAAATAAGTGATAAGTTGTTTCGTACCATATCCTTCAACATCATCAACGCGAGGGTTAACAGAAGACATTTTAAAAAAATATACAGTTCCAGATAAAGAGTATATTTAAGAAATCTATTGTCGCATAAATCCAGTGATTTGTATCTTAAATATCAAAAAATTTTTGTATTACATTTCTCCATCTTCCAGCACAATTGGCTGGACAACTGAATTTTTATCACGTGATTATAATGTTCCCGATTTAGAAATGCATTTATTAGAGGGTTGTCTGTATTATCCATATATTCTTTTCGTTTGTGGCAAATCTTTGACGACAAATATTGCACGTTGAAGCGTTTAGAAATATAATAAGCATCCGCTTCCATTTCTAAAATAAATTGCCGAATTTATGAGTAAAAAATAAAAATGGGAAGGGATGAAACAAATTCACGTGCCCTTTGGTGAAATCACGTGTCACTCGTATCATACTAAACTATCAACAAGATTTTTATTTTTATCATAGAAATTTAATCAACAATGTGCGCCCAACTATACGTCAAATGAGAACATCTTAAATCGGGATAAAGTTTTGAAATAATCTTTAAAAATAAATGAAATAAATGAAAAATCATGTGGAGTTTGTTATTTTTAAAATGTTTCTTCCTTTGGGAAATCATAAAATTTTTATCCGCTTAAGGTTAATTTAATTTTGAGTTTTGTCACAAATAAATTAAAACAACCAATCTCCACAAAGCAAATTTTTTTTATCAAGAAATAAAAGTTGTTTTGTTCTAAACTTTTTAGTTTACGATCAAAAAAATAAAAATGGAAATTCTAATTATAAACATGCGCCAAAAGAAAATATTCTTGCGGTAATGAATGAGTGTAATTCTCAAAAGTTCATATTCATTCATTTTTATTATAAAAGGATGTTGAGATGAGCATCGATTCAAAACAAACCATTATTTTCTCTTTTAATAATTAAATAATATTTTTTTTAACAAAATAAAACAAATTAATAATAATAATAGAATGATAGCAAAATTAGAGAGAATTTTATTTCTCTTATTCTCATTTTATCTGTTATCATGTTACTCTATCCCAACCCACAAACAAGGTACACTAGTCACAGATTATTTCTCTCCCTTAACTCATCTTCCACTCACAAAAAAACCTGTCACCCGATTTTATAACCTTAACTTGAGGCAAAAAAACTTGTCGCCAGATGGATTTGAAAGAAGGGTATGGACAGCAAATGATGTTTATCCTGGACCAATTATAAGAGCAAATAAAGGGGATAAAATTTTTGTAAATGTAACAAATTGTTTTGGAGAACCGGCGTCGATACATTGGCACGGCTTAACTCAGAAAGAAACAAATTGGTACGACGGTGCTCCAGGATTTGTAAGTTTTCATATCATTCAGTATCTATAATTTTTTTAATCTCTTTTTTAATGTTTTTATATATTTTGACAATCATTAGACTCAATGTCCAATTCCAAACGATGTTTCATTGGTTTATGATTTCTCCACTTATGGTCAATCCGGTACTTATTGGTGGTACGTATGACGTTTTTACTCACAGGTTTAGTTCATTAAATAATTTTTTTTGCATTAAATTTATTCCTTTCGTAATGATCTAGGCACTCACATTATCTTACGCAATATGTTGACGGTTTACGAGGAACACTAATAATTCACGATCCAGATGATCCATATCTGAAAAGTTATGATGAAGAATATGTAATTACATTATCGGATTGGTATCACAATAACTCTTCGACTTTGTTATCTGATAGAATGGCACCTGGATATGAAGGCTTCGACCCGATTCCCGACTCTGGTTTGATTAGCGGGAAAGGAAGATATGATTGTTCAGCTGCTCCAAAAGATTCGAAATGCACCCCAAATGCACCGTTGGCAACTTATAAATTCAAAAAAGGACGGAGATATCGTCTTCGTTTAATAAACACAAGGTAAGATTAGCAAAATCAAATAGTGAAACGTTTTAAAATATATATTAATTCACTTTTTAATGATTTATAGTACGGAATATTTCTTCACATTTTCCATTGACGAACATAAATTGAAAATCATTGAAACCGATGGGGAATACGTTGAGCCATACACCGTCGAAAAAATTCCAATTAATATTGGGCAAAGATATTCTGTAATCGTTGAAGCAAATCAAGCCATCGATAATTACTGGATTCGGGCTACAATGAATAAAGAATGTGCGCATTCCAACAACTTTACCATCAATATTAATTCAGCGATAAATTATGAAGTTGTCGGTATATTGAAATATGAAGGGGCAAAAAATGATGAACCAACGACAAAAGAATCCAATGAACAACATGATAGATGTAAAGATTTATCAACGAAATTTTTAATTCCTTTAAATGCAAAACCAGCACCTGAACCAGTTCATAAAATTATTACATTGAATACAACTGCCATTACAAATGAGAAAAATGTCACGGTTTTTACGGTTAATGGAAAAACTTTTTCACCAGATTTCCAAAATCCCACACTTCAAAGGATATTGAATGGGGAAGATCCTAATACATTTCCAGACGATCAAGTAACATTTGTTTATGATGAACCAAATGGTGTTATTGAAGTTAGACTAATCAATAATGGTATTGGTACGCATCCATTTCATATGCATGGTCATAACTTTTTTGTCCTTGGAAGTGGAGATGGAACCGAAGTAGTCGAAAGTGAATTAAATTATAAAAATCCTACCATTCGAGACACTGTTACCTTACCAGCTATGTCATGGACCGTTATTCGCTTTTTAGCCGATAATCCAGGTGTATGGGCGTTCCATTGTCACATTGAAGTAAGTATTATAAAAGAAGTTTTTCTTTTTTTTTTATTGTTAATTTTTTTTTTAAAAAAAATTTTGTTTTTTCTTATTTAATAGTGGCACGTTGAAATGGGATTGGTAGCTCAATTGATTGAATCACCAACCGAACTCGCCAAACGTCAACCTCCTAAAGATTGGAGTTCGCTCTGTTCCAAATGATAAAAAACGATGAAGAACAAACTATATAAAGAACATTGTAATTGTATTTCAATATATAGAATAGATCTATTTATTTTCTTAATTACAATAATAAAAGAAAAAAAAAAAAGTTATTAATTAATAGACAAACCAAATAAATTATTTCATAAATTGCCGAAACAGTTCGCTTTTGTTTCCATTCGTCTACTTTATTGCAGTCACTTAACGTCTCTAAAGAACTTTCTGTCCCAAATTGTTGCGTAACATGATTTTGAATTTTCTAAATCAAGCAGTCTGTACATATAGCCAAGGGATTTTGTTTATACTCTGCTCCATACGAGTGAAGCTGCCGCTTTAGCAGCACACTATTGTTATTTGCTTTGCCATAGAAACAATCTTAATAAGTAAAAACCTGAAAGGTTGGAGATATTTGTTTAACACATGAAGAAGTTACATGGAAGTCAATGTATGTTGTTCTGTTCATTGTAATGGGATAAGCGCAAAAATGCAAAATGTCGCATTCTATTGAATTTCACACAACATATAGTCATTTTTGAACTTGATGTATATTATCGAAAACAATATAAACGTAACAAAGGACATGTTTTCATTATAATGTTGTTTTTGTAAACGTCGTACCAATAAAATAAAATTTGCAGTGCGGATTTTCGCTCACATTTACAGAAATTTCATTTTGTTAGTCACATGCGCTGCAAGTTCAATCATATTTACATTTTTGTAACACTTGAGACGGTTTAATTTGTAAAAATTAAGCCACAGGGCTGAAAATATCACAAATTAAATACTCATAATTTACTTGGAAGAAATGACGCATTTATGCAGAAAAAAAATGTTGCTACCCCCGCATATTAATATCCGGACTTTATAACGATACGAAATACAAATAATACACACTCTACAGATACAGCTCATTTTGTAAATTGGTGAATTTATAAGAAATTAATATGGAATTATTTTAAATTTGGGGCAATCACATATTTGGTTATTCGGTTAAACAAATGGCGGCGGAGAATTTTATGAGACAAATGTGTGCTACTGTTATTGTAATACTTGTTTTTTTAAATTTTTTTAACCCCATTCAAAATAATTGGCATTTAGCCATAAATTGAATAGAGTATGCAGGGTGTATCAGCTGAGATCAACCCATCAACTACTACATGCGATTGTTTCAAAAAGATTTGACAATGAATAAAAATCTTTACTAATGAAAATCATTCATTAATTGGTTCCCTTAATTTAAAAGATCTCAGTAATATTTAATTTTAATAATAATGGGAATGTTTGGAATTTAATTAAGAACGAAAATCTGGGCAAGGGATGGCGTAATAAAACCAATAGAATAACGGCATCACATCTATTGTCTCTCGTCTTTTTACTAAAAGTATCATCATTATTAGGGTATGAGTAGGTAATGTTCATGAACCAGATGATAAAGGTTACATCTATTTTACTTTGAAAATAAATTTTTGAAAAAGTTTTCAATTTGATTCTTTTTCCCACTCATCCCATATGATTCGCCATAGACTTAAAAAATTTAGATACTGTTTATTATTTAAAAACAATTTTATATATATTAAATAATAATCTATTACATCCAAAACACAATCTATTGGATTTCTCAGCATCTATTGTTGACATTATATAACCAAATTTTGTTTATGAAAATGAAATCCCAGGTTTATTATGAATATACGTCGAAGTGACAAATAATTTCAACGAAACATTTCACAAATGTGGGGTTAAATGTGTTTATTAATAAAGTAAAAAAAATAAATAAATAAATAAACACGATACTGAATATTGGGACGAATTAAAAAAATTTTTTCTACGTTTTTAGAGGAGATTCGTCATAACTGCGCCAAACTTACATAAGTACATAGTATGCACCAAATATTTATGTTATTTTACTTTGTGCGAATGAATTATTTTTAGTTTTTGTTAAATTAATTGGTTCTTTTGAGCTCAATTTCTCCGAACCAATCAAAATACGATAAATTCAAAAAATTTTTGGTTTGCGATTTAGATCTCAACATGAACACATCACGTTATTTATCAGAGAATAAATCAAGAATAATTGGGGGATATTGTATTCAACGTTTCAAAAGTTTCCACAATGTCAAATTGAGATTTTATTATAAATACCCTTAACTTCCCTGTTTTTTTTTTCCACAACTGATTATCAAATTTCTTTACTCAAAATGCATCCACATAGAATTATAAGAAATCCAAATATTTCAGTTCGTTCGATAGTAAACGATTTCTTGGATCGTATTGATTACAATATCCTTAATCAACCCCCTTGCAATGGTAATGCAAATGTGCTCGCGGCATATGCAAGAGGCGATTCATTAATTCAAGTATTAACTGGAAAAGGCCTCTTCCGACAAAATTTAGAGAAGGAAGCTCGCCGATTACGAATTCGTAATAGACTAGTAATTAAAACTGCGACGGAAAAGATTTGGAACTTACACTTAACGAGCCTTCAACGCGATAGATTTGAAAGGTTGGCCAATGATGCAAATAATTTTAATCAAAACGGGATGCGATTTTTTACCGAAAATACCCTGGACAGGATCGCTGGCATAACTACTGTACAAACGACGAATAATCAGTTAGTGGATAACTTTTATAACGGAATGGTGTTTAATGATTGCGAATCTATAATACCAGGGTATTGGTAAACTTCGAATTCCCTTAATATTCTATGTAAAATATGTATTTTATTATTTTTTTTTGATTTCCTTATTAGGCATTATTATTTATTATTTATTATTATTTATTATATATATATTTATTCCTTATTTCGGGCGTATATTCCTATAATTATTATTCCTTGAAATTCCTAATTTTGGCGTAACGTATTCCTATAGATAATCATTATTCACTTGAAATTCCTAAATTTGGCATAACTCATTCCTATTGAGATCTTATTCATTATTCATTATCATCTTTTTTTTTACCAAAAAATTTTATTTTTTAAAATTCCTTGACGTTTTTTTATGTCCTTCCTTCCCATCAAGATATGAAAAAAAATATTTTATTTTATTTTATTTTATATTATATTTTAAACAACAAATTTATTCTATAGATAAGTACCTCCTATTAATAATTAATTACTATTACGAAAAAATTTTTATTTAAGATGATTTTTTTTTTTTTAAAAAAATAATTTAGAAAACAGAACGAATTATATTTCAAATATTATTAACCAAACATTTGTATGTGATAAAAATTATATTTAACAAATATGCGAATAAACATTAAATGATTTCGTTTAATTGACTCAAAACAAAATAGTATATTAGTCTCTTTTTTTTTTTGGTTCGTTTTTATTTATAGATATATTAATTATTTGTCATCATCCCTCCCCAAAAAATTTGATTAAAACAATGATTGTATAACGTAACACAAGAATTTGAAACAATAAACAATATGATTATTGATTTGAAAAGTCAATGTTAACAAAGGTAATTACTAAATGCATAAAACATTGGTTCGTTTCTTTTTTTTCGCCACACAGGGTGCTAAGTTTAAGTTTGACATGTGCCAATACGTTTTCAATGGCTTGGTGAACAAATGATAGAGCAAATATTTTTTTTTTTTTAAATGAATTTCTCACACCAAATGACAATTTAATTTAATTTTTTTTATGAATTTGTCGTCTTTGACAGGAAATAGATACATTCAATAATATATTTTGATGCATCCCTGTGCAATTTTAAAACAGATCCCTTACATATTGAAAAGCTAATAAATTTCGTATCACTACATCAAATAACATGGCTTGGTCTATTTATAAAATGATATCATCAAATTCTTTTTGGGGTAATAAGAACAACTAATGTCTTACATATTATTTTTGTAGTAGTAACATAACCAAAAAAAGAAAGTTCAGAGCATCGACATGCATTACAAACAAATTAAAGACCAAAGATTCAAGTTACCAAATAAATCAATTGTAAGTAAAATTGTAACTTTTTTTCAGGTATATAATTTATTTGGTGTTTAAAACCATGTTTCATATTTTCTTCCCATAAATATCATACCACCCTTTTCTTTCATACTAATTTACACAAATATGGACCAAAGAGCGATTGCTTGAACTTTACTTTTATGGAAGTTTAGAATTATTCGTGGCAAAAAAAATATCTTATAAATAGGTCGTCGAGACAATCTAATGGTAGACAAACAGTTTTTGTTTCTTTTCCTTTATTCCAGTATTAAATCTTTTGGGAGAAACGTTCGATCTCAACAATTCCCATATACGCTCAACAAGAAAACCCCTCGATTCACTTATTTCAAAAAAAAAAAAAAATTCAAACTTCTTTAAAATGTATTCTCAAAAAGGTCAAAATTTACGTTCGCGAAAACACGATTTCATCAATAAACTTATCGCTTGCGGGAATATCTATCAGCTTCCTTATAACAACAACGCAAGCATATTGGCGGCTAACGCAATCATCGAATCACCAACCAAAATATTAACCGGAAAAGGCCTTTTTCAGAAACGTATAGAGAGACAAGCTCAGAAATTACGAAAACACGATAAATATCTGATTAATTCTGCTACAGAAAGTATATGGAATTTACGATTAACGTCTATTCAACGGGATGGTTTTGAAAGTTTGGCCAATGAAGCAAATAATATCATTCAAAATCGAGCGCGATCCTATGCCGATGATGATATGTCGAACATGATGATGAGAATTAGTACACCACAAGTAACCAATCACCCCTTTGGAAATTGCATTTATAATGGAATTGATTTTCCATGATTTGAAAGTTTAATACTGCATGCCTAGATATTTAACATCTTTTCATTTTATCATATAGATAATAGAACAATCAAAAAAAATTCAATAGATTATTTCTTTTATATATTTATTTAATTTTTAATTTTTACTCTTTCCTTATCATCTTACTTAGTAAGGAATTATTTTTTTTTTTTAAAAAAAAAAAAAAAAAAAAAAAAAAAAATCGAATCTTTTTTTGTTACGGTCTGACCACGGGATGGATTTCAGACGACATCGTATCAGGAGATGGTAGTCCTCGAGCGTCTACCTTTCCATAAATGTTTATAACGTATAACAATCTTTCGGAAAATTAAATATTAAGAACAAAATTGGCAAAAAAAAAAAAAAAAGAAAAAGAAAATATGATTAAATAATAAGATACCGATTTCAGATATCGATCTACACTACACACAAACACAAACATATATGTACCATTACACAATTTAATTAAGATAAATAAATAACATAATAAAAATAAAAATAAATATTAAATATAATAAAAAAAATAAACAAAAACAAATGAATATCTTATTTGTATGTATCGGATTTTATTATATGACAACTTGAATAATCTAATGAAAAGAATGAAAAGTCAAAATCAAATTAATTAATATTTATTGTAACGCAATTCATTTAAATCGAAATAAAATAAATAAATAATAAAAAAAAAAAAAAAATATTTAAAGAGATCAAGGTGGATTTAAAATTTTGATTTTTTGAGATCAATTCTTAAAATTCATCAGTCTCCTTCTTCTGTATAAAATAATAACATATTCATATTTGATACAAAATTTTTCTACCACGGATAATTAATTTATTTTGATTTTGTTCTTAACGAAACTCTTCAAAAATGTATGCTAAACGATATATACACTCTATCTCTATTCAAATGATTTTCCTAAATTATAATAATATTTACGCACAAGTGCTTGTGGTTCTTGCAAGAAATGGTAGAAGATTTCCAGGAAAAGGATTATTGAAACGAAATATTAAACGAAGACGATATATGATTTATATATCAACAAATCAAATTTGGAATAGGATTTCAGCTCAACGAAATACCTTAGCTGAAAATGCTAACCTTATCAATCAAGACCTTATGACCCGTATGACGAATAATAATAATAATACTCTTCTTGACAGAATTTCTCAAATAACCATACCACAAGAAACTAATAATACCTTTGAAGATAATTTTTTTAACGGGACAAGTTTTGCCGATAACAACGACCGCCAGGATCCGCTTCTATGTTCCTTTGAGTAAGTAATGTAAGATCATTTATCATTTTCACTAACTATAAAATACAAAATCATAATCACATTTCCCCTTTTATTTTCCGTCTTACAAATCTTTAAATGAAATAAATATTATGTTTTCGCATTTTTATCCATTGAATTAATCCAATAAATTTGACCATTCTTAAACATGATTTTCAATCACATTGTTATAACGTGTTCACGGATTTACCTAGTACAAATAATTGTGAAAACAAATGTCTTCAGATTGAAGTTTTTTTGGTGACACGATCCCATTCATTCAAGTGTGACACGAAATTTCTTCCAATTATACAAGGGCGTGAAAACAATCATGTAACAAATAAACTTATATAGGTAGTAGCAATTTATCACCCGTACATTCGTATTTATGGTGTCGATGAAATTCAAAAGTCGCACAAAATCAGTCAATTACAGACCAAATTGCGTTAATTAAGAATATGATATCCATGTATGACTCGTGAAAAAAAATTTTTTTTTTTTTTAATACAATGACGAAATGAAAGTCGTTCGCCTCGGGGCTCAAAATCTCTTGGTCAGTATATTAGGCGGTTTCTTCTGGAAATAAGCATCCAAATTATCGCTAAAGGATATAATAGATGCGGTATTCAGCTAATCTTGGCTATGACAAAAAGCGTCCAATCGCAACCCAAATGCGTTTAAAATTGGGACGAGAAGCATGTAAATGATGAAACCGCACAGTTTTTTCAAATGAAACCTCCTTTTGTTTATTAGTAACACTGTGCAAATTTTGGTAGGCCAGTTCGTCGGACTGAACAAGAATCAATGCATGGGGCGGATTTTGCATTCGGGGCAAAACCCAGTCTTTACTGCTTTCGCGAATACATAAATGGGCCGGTCTATGTTGAAAATCATAAAAAGGCATCTTCCTAAGGTTAGGAAGATGCTGCATAACAATTGATGCCTTCTCAGGAGCATATGAGAAACGTAGCTGCAAGTGTCCCATGTTTTATGGATTGGCCTTCCAACAGTTCATATTTAAAATTTATGCGCTATTGTTAAGAGGAGCAGCAGCACAAAAATATCGGGATTCAGAGAAGGAGGAATGGTCAAAATTATTAAAAATTTAGTCGGGGTCGATGATGGGTATAGTTGCCTGGCCAAACTCATTTTAACAAATGGCAAAGTCGAAACCTTATATTTCGACGGTATTTTTAATGAGACTTTAATATCGTTTTTACTTTTGAAAGGGTTTTATTATGGTCAGGCAACTATAGGCTCGTCCATAGTAGCATCAGATCATGTGACACTCACGATAATTTGAACTTCCCGGCGTAACCACCAAAAATTACTGTCACATGACTTTCTGGCCGGAATTATGAAATTAACTGCGCGTTTTAGAATTAAGAGTGACTAAGTGACAAATAATGGTGACAAATAGGATTTTTCGCACCGAATAATTTCCAAGTTCCTGGAATACTTATAAAAAAAATGAAACACTACGGGTGTGACGCGGATGAATATTTTTACTAAGATCACGTGCCAGTAATTTTTTGGTGGTTACGTTTGAATAATAACTATAACCGATATTTTTACAAACTTTACGTGGCGCAGCGCAACATAATTTATAGTTTTAAAGAAAACGGGGGATATTGGAGTTGGGAGGGCGTGCGTAACCAATTTGATTGGACCTAAATTCTTTATGGGGGTGAAACAAGATCATGGATATTCATATTCAGGATGACCGTGAAAAAAGAAAATGTTTGTAAATTTATAAATAATCATTATTTGTTTCATGTTCATTCCAAATTACCTGTTTTTGTCGTTTTGTATATTATCATGACAATCATGACAATCATGACAATCATTGGTTTCACATAACAATGACGTAAAGATGATATCATTTTGACTTCAATTAAAGGAAGTAGTGAAAGTAATAACATTCAAAATGAAAACGAGAAATTCATTAAATGATAAATCAGATCAGATCATCAGTAAAAACATCTAAGAGATTTGAATCAAGAGTAATCTTACTGATTAATATTTATTGGATTTTAAATCGTATTTATCGGATAAATGTTTTTTAAAAAAATCAGTTGACATCACGCAAATTTCAATTTTATTTTTTGTTGCAAATGAATTAGTATTTCATTTTCAAATTTATCCCGTTGATATTTGGATTCATTTTCTTGCTTGAGTCACAGAAAATGGTGCCAAAAGCCTATATCAACGATAATACGAATTGTCACGGAAAGTCAATATTTTTATAGTTGTAATATTATTGTTATTCCGCACTAGTGAACATTTCATTTGAAATTAATTTCCGACCGAAATATCCAATGCTTTTAAATTCCGCGTGTTAGTACTATTTGCATGCAACAAATTTAAGAAAAAAATTTTTATTTCTAAACAAAATTGTAACCGGAGTCTTAAAATGTTGTGTAACGTCCTGATTGTGCGATTTCTTTAAACTTCTCGATAAAATAACCATAATATACACAAATTTGTTTATGATTTATTGCATAAACAATATTCTTCAAGAACATTCCAAGTGGCGTTTCTTTTCGACACTAACGAAACAATCTAAAGAATTTCTTAGTTAAACAAATATTATGACGATTAAGTCTAAGATTTCTAATATAGAATTACAATTTTCTTCAAAAAATTGTTTAAATATACATGATTTTTGCTGCTTTTGTGTTAAAAAAACATTTTACACTTATCAAACTTGTTTTCGATTAATTATGATTTTTATTTAATTTATGCAATAAATTGGAAATGAGTTTGGTATATATATAAAATAAATTGATTTTGTAATTTCAGTTTTCACCCTTTACTACAAACGCCCATAACAAATATATTTACAATTGAAATTTTTTTTAAATAAAATAAGAAACGGATAAAAGTAAAGAAAGATAAAAATGATTCCTTTAAGGAAAACTTGTTCCATTAAAAAAATTGGCTTCATAGAGATTATTTGTCGCTTGTGGCATCGTTATTTGAGAAATTCTGTCAAGAGTATTATTATTCGCGTCATTCATCGTACGGTTTATATGGTTAGCATTCTCAGCTAACGTATTAAATCGATTTCGTTGAAAAGTTGTTGAAACCATATTCCAAATTTGATTTGTTGCTAAATAAATTATATGTTGTCTTCGTATATGTAATCGTTTAGCTTCACGTATAATATTTCTTTTCATTAAACCTTTTCCTGTTAATCTTTGAAATCTTCTACCATTTCTTGCAAGAGCGGCAAGTATTTGTGCATTATTATTATAAGGAAGCAGGTAAATATTAATATAATTTACACGATTTAGGAAATCGTTTAATACTGTTTTATGTTGAACAGGCATTTTTTACAAGAATGCAATAAGAATAAAGATGTTTGTTCTTTATTCTTTCTTTTTTTTTTAAAAACAAATTAAGAAAAAAAAAGAGATGAACTTTACTTCTGATTATTATGTAGGTAGGTATTTAAACAACTGATACTTGATTGAGTGGGCGTTTAAAAGAAGAAGATTGATACATCAGATAACGTTAATGATTGATTAAATTTGAATGGAAATTAATTAAAGATAAAAACGTCTTCATTATGTATCATCAGTTTAATCTTGCGTATTTTAATTAAAATAAATAAACGGTATGTTTTTAAGGTTATTATTCGTGGTCCATGAATTATCAATGATTCGTGTCACATTTAATATAAAAACTTTACTTTGTTGTTGTTCTCATTTTGGAAACCGTTTGTAAGCTTATTTTATATTAATTATTCATAATTATTAATGATTATTGTATTTTATTATTATAAAAATGAAATTCTTTTATTTGTCAAAATATATCGCGTAACATAAAAATAAACGGTATTTGGGTTGTGAGATTTTTAATCTGACCATTTTAATATTCGAATGAAAGGGATAAAACATCTACGATTGATAAGAATATGTTGTATTTTTTTTTTTTTTTGATTTTTTATATTTTGAATTAAGATCTTTTTTATTTTCTTTATTTATCTGAAATAATAATAATGATTGCGATCTCAAAAAAAAAAAAAAAATTAAATAAGTGAAAATCCGTTGATCACAAATGATCACATCACGAAATTACTGCGGTTTGAAATCGTAATTTTTTTAAAAATTACTTTCTTTGATTTAAAAAGGTAAGTTTATCTGAGAGATATACTAATATAATATAATTACAACTTGGCCATTTTTAAGAAGGAAAGATTTTGATGGGTATAAAATTGATATTGTACTTGTATGGTATGTTTAGCATTTTTATGATTTCTGCTACTCTTATTTATAATAGGTAAAGATATTGAAATTGAAACGATATCCAAGTCACTAGAAAATCTTAATATGGTTCAGTTGATTTGGTAATTGGATATTAATCGTATATATTATCTTTGGATGATTCAACTATGTACATTACACATGCTCCTTTTAAAAAAAAGAAATTCAATGAAAATAGCTCAAGCTCATTTACGATTTCATATCATATTAATGAATGTCATAAGAAAGTTATCTTGTCAAATTTTGATGTTATTATACCCCTTTTAATAGAAAAATTAATTCAAAGTCGGTCCGGTCCATAAAATGATTACCTGTTCTCATATCCGATTTCGAAATCTTCTTATTTCTCAAGGCTTAAGAATTAAATAAAACAAGCATATACAAGTAAAACTTGCTTTCTCTCAGTATTTTATAATTTACTTAATACTGTTGTGGATTTATTAAACACAACTTGGATGGAAACAAAGTATTTGATTTTAGGTTGTGATGGGTAGGGATTCGGTGAATTTTCTCCCAGCTTTTGCTTGATGGGGCTGTTTGTATATACGCATTCACTATTGTTAATTATTCATATAATCGATTCAATCTATCCGGAGCTATAAAATTTGTCCAAAAAATTAACCTCATTTAGAACTTAATATTAGTTATTTTATTATTAATTGTAAACCACTCTTGGAGCTGATCATTAAAAATAAAAATATTAGTCCGGCAAGCCAGATTTGAACTAGCGACCTAGAGATAACAGTTTTACTACAGTCTCCCGCTCTACCAACTGAGCTATTGCCGGTCGTTTCTTATCAAATTTTGAGTTTATATCTTAATAAAGATTTCAAAAATACTTTCAAAATCATCTTTTGGTGGCTTAGGTTTATCAAAAATCTTAAAAATCTCGGGGGAAAAAAAAAAAAAAAAAAAATTTAACGACTCGTAAAATTATATTTTATTGTAATATCTGAACCAAATTATTTCAATTTTAATCTCCTAAAATGCATTTAATATCAAATAATTTTGTAAAGCAAGTGGTAATTCCTATATATTCCAAAGGTCCAACACTTTTAGTACTTAAAAGAACTTGCCATTCGACACCTATACTATTTGATAAGAACGAATCAACGCCTCCGCCAAAAAATGCTGTTGCTGAGGGTGATGCCGTTCAAACACAAGCTTCAAGTGAAAAAACCCCAATGTCTCAAGAAGGTGGAAACCTTGCGTTAAAACCTGGCAAAATTCGTCGACCAAAATTTAAGTTATGGTTACATAATGAGGGGAACAGGTTTATTAACGTTTCTAAGGGACCGAACTACCTTAATACAACCACAGTTGAGTTTCAATAAGTAAATACATCTATTAAATCTTTGTTGGTAATTTTTTACATTTTTTTTTTTTTTTTTTATCTGGCATGTATTGAAAATGCTTTAGTAGCCTTTCCCTATGAATCCTCTCTTTAAACCCCAACCTCCATTAAATGATAGAACCAAAGAAGAGATATGGTTAAAATTTACGGAAGCAGAACAAACACCTCGTAAAATTGGTGGTGAATATGGAATTTCTTTAAAAAGAGTTGAAGCGATCCTCAAGTTAAAGAAAATGGAAAAGGAAATGATTAAAAAGGTATGCCTGCATTCTTTAGTCGGCTTGTTCTTTCATATTCGTAATGATGATGATAATATCGATTAGTCTTGAAGAAACTAAATATGGTTAAAAAATTTTACGCTGATCAAGTTCTATATATAATAAAAATGATCAAAGAAATTTAATTCATCGGTTATTCATTTTACCCTGTCAACTTTTTTTTTTAAAAAAAAAAAAAAATTAAGGGCATTACTTTGCAAGAAAACCTGAGAGAAAATATGGAAAGTTTGTTGGGTGCACGTTCATTTCATGCCGAACCTTTAACAGACATGTTGTCAAAGATCGGTAAACCCAATTTTACGTTGGTTGACGAAAATAAGGATTTTTCGCCAGAGGTATACATGATCTTATGGCTTTTTAATTCAAATGATTTCATTTTATTTAACAAAACACGTGTTATTATAGGATGCGGCCAAAGCGTTACGTCGTCCATCATTAGCTAAACTGCAGGAAAAAGAACGCGGGAAAGAATTGATTCATCCTTTTAGATTTGAGGAAATATCGAAAACAAACATTTTAATTGATCGTAATAAAAAGGAACTCAATCAAAGGTTTCAATATCAATTTAAAATTTTAGGAAAAGAACAATATACTATACTTCGTGATCGAGATGGTTCATTACATAAAATTAAATGATTAAATTATTCAATGAAAAGCATCGATTGGAGATATTAAATTTTTTTTATAATACGATTGATGTAATTCATTTCAATAAATAATAAACAACAATTGGGTTCTCGTTAATAGATAACGTGATCTTTTCTAATAAAAAAATAAATCTATGATGAAAATCCAATGAATATGATCTTGGTTTTGGAGCGATTCATTAAATTGTTTCAATTAATTCAACAATCGTTTTGACCAAATTTTGCATCTCGAGAGCTCGGCTTTGACTAGTTTTCAACACTTCCTCATGGCTTGGTGGTGGTTCTTCGATAACACCAGATTCGCGTGACAAAGGGTCCGCACTTTTACCTTTTCCAAGTGCGACCATATTGGTTACAAGACTTAGTCCTAATACACGAATCCCACTATGCCTCGCTACGATTACTTCAGGTACAACGGACATCCCAACAACATCTCCACCGATCGTCCTCAAGAATCTAGCTTCGGCCTTGGTCTCATAGGAAGGTCCACCAACAAAACAATAAATGGCTTCTTTCAACACACCCTCTTTGAAATTGAGAGTTGATGATGCTTTAAAGGCCAGAACACGAAGATCGTAATCATATGCGTCTGACATGGGTGGGAAACGTGGTCCGAACGCGTCAAGATTTGGTCCAAATAATGGATTATTACCCACTAGACCAGGAAGAGAAATGTGATCGGTAAGCACCGCTACATTTCCAACCTGAAAGTCTTTATTAAGCGCGCCAGCCGCACTTGTTGCTGTTTCGTTTTCAATTTTCGATTTTAAGGCAAAAACGACAATAAATAAATAAATAAATAGAATTAAACTATTAAACTTGAGATTCCATGATATATAACCTACCGATTAAAATCTTTACACCTAAAAGTTTAAAAATCCTAATGGGTAACGTAACATCTTTAAGGTTATGCCCTTCATAGAAATGAAATCTTCCAACCATGCAAACGGTTGGAATTTGATTCTTTCCTAGGAAACCAAAAACTAGTTTACCCGCGTGACCTTGAACTGTTTGAGGGGGAAAAAAAAAAGAAAGGATGATTAATAAATTCAATAGTTCATACCTTCAAATTGTTGTCCAAGTTTCCTAACCTGTACTAGTAGCGAATCCTATATCTTCATATTTAAATTCAACTTTTTTACATTTTGTTTCATCAATTGTATCAACCAAACCACCAAGCCCAGAACCACATATAATGGCCACTCTAGGTTGCGAAAGCTCAGTTGGTAACCGTGCACGAAGATATTTAATTATAGCAATGAAATTTGCACTATCCGGGTTTAGTGTGTCGTTCTCTTGAACTGGTGGCATTATTTATAGAGATGATTAGTTAAAAAAAAAAAAAATGGAAATGGAAACTAATGATCTGCTGCTCTACTACATACATCAACTTGTAGATAACTAAATTTAGTCATAAAAAGCGTTATTGCGTTCAGTCTCATCAAAACTAGAAAATGATCAAAGGGCTGGATTATGTTTATCGTTACTTGGATATAAAGATTTAAAAGATTGAATTGATTTGTTAGTAATTCTTTTTTTCTTATTATTTTTTTTTCGTAAATACAAAAAACTGACATGTCGATCATTTACGAATAGGGATGGTTAAAATAAAATTTGGTTAATTAATTAATATTAATTTTTTTTTTATAGTAGCCATTTTTTTTTTGGATCCGGAGAAATTAACAGTTCTATTGCTTTGTTTTGATTGGTTAATTCAACAACTTACAGATAACGTGATCGAGAATACCGTGTAACATAATGCTTTCGAAACTTTTTGATCAAATTTTCAGCTGCGTAAAAGTTGAATAATTTTCAATCCTAGGGAGCTAAAGTAGAAAAATGAGACTTCCACCAGTAATTATGGATAATGGAACCGGGTTAGTATTCAAAAACATTGGACTGACTTTATTTATAGTCAACCTGAACCTTATCCCTTTGTATACTTGTAATCAGTTACACGAAGCTAGGCTTCGCGGGTAACAGTGAACCGTCCTTTGTCTTTCCCACAGTCATTGCGACGCGCGATTCCGCAAATACTGGAGCCTCCGGTACTTCTGCTCCTTCAAAGACTTCCCATCTTTCGGGGAATATCGCCTCAAAACGGGGTATCGAAGATTTAGATTTTTATATTGGGAATGAAGCACTTTCAAATTCTAAAACGTATGGTTTGCATTATCCTATTCGACATGGTCAAATCGATAATTGGGATCAAATGGAACGATTTTGGGAACAGAGTATTTTTAAATATTTAAGGTGTGAACCGGAGGATCATTATTTTCTCTTGGTAAGTTGGTTAATTTGTAAAATTTGCACAACTATCGAATATTGAATAACTATTAATTTTCCGTATTAACTCGTTATAGACAGAGCCACCGCTTAATGCTCCAGAGAATCGTGAGCAGACTGCCGAAATCATGTTCGAATCCTTTAACATCCAAGGGCTTTACATTGCTGTACAAGCTGTATTAGCTTTGGCTGCCAGTTGGACTTCGAAAAAGGTTGCGGATAAGGTATTAACCGGAACAGTTATTGACAGCGGTGACGGTGTCACTCATGTAATTCCTGTGGTAAGCTACGTTCTTTTTTCTGTTACCCTTTTATTAAACAACTTTTTTTTTTTTAACGTCCGTTGTTTTTAAGGCTGAAGGGTATGTTATTGGATCATCTATTAAACATATCCCAATTGCTGGTCGAGATATTACATATTACGTTCAACAACTTCTTCGTGATCGAGGTGAAACTTCAATTCCTCCTGAGGATTCTTTAAAAGTAGCTGAAAGCATAAAGGAGCGATATTCCTATGTATGTCAAGATATTGTTAAGGAATTTAAAAAGAGTGATCAAGAGGCTGATAATTTTTTCCAAAAATATCAAGGAATACACAGTGTAACTGGCCAGGTAGTTATTTATTTATTTATTTTTTTTAAAAAAAAAGATTTAATTGGAATTAATCTTTCTTACAAATTTTACTTTTTGATAGCCTTACGAAGTTGACGTTGGTTTTGAACGTTTCCTGGGACCCGAAATCTTTTTCAACCCAGAAATAGCCTCATCTGATTTTTTGACACCTCTTCCCAACGTTGTTGATAATGTGATTCAAAGTTGTCCCATCGACGTTAGACGTGGTTTGTACAAGGTTCGTAACCGGGATTACTGCAATTCTTATTCGAATTTTGTCTTAATTAATTTTATTCTCTTATTTCTAGAATATTGTGCTATCAGGTGGATCTACAATGTTTAAAGGTTTCGACAAACGCCTTCATAGAGATATGAAGCGTGCGGTCGATGCTCGTGTTAAAAGAAGCGAAGAATTAAGTGGGGGTACTATGAAGGCAAAAGAAATAGATGTAAAAGTCATATCACATAAAAAGCAACGTTATGCGGTCTGGTATGGTGGTTCTTTGCTAGGATCAACGGTATGTTTTATAATATTTTTTTTTTTTTTTTTTTCTTTTTTACAAAAAAAAAAAAAAATTCAACAAATTCTCTCTCTTTACTGCAACAGCCTGTATTCAATTCGTATTGTCACACAAAAGCAGAATATGAAGAACATGGACCAAGTATTTGTAGACATAATCGTGTATTCGGATCCATGGGTTAAATTATTTTAATATATATATAAGTTGAATGAATATAATGGTGATTTGATTAATAACTTTAATTATTTAACACATTGTATATGTACTTATCATAATCTTTATATAAAATTTTATAAAATATATATATTATATATTATTTATTTTATATTCTTTTATTTTTTTGAATAAAAAAAAAAAAATTTTTTTAATTGAATTTCAGAAGCATTATATATTTAATGTCCCGGTATATCTCCAAATATTATTATAGAGTTAATGAGTTGAATGGTAAAAAAAAACGAACATTTTGGAGATATGATACCAACAAAAGGAACACGTTTATAAAAGCAAACAATGAAAATTTTTGCGAATAAATACCTCATATTCATGGCATTAATATACAATATTATTTTTATTAAGATAGATTTTCAGTCAACTACTAGTTTATGACAAGATCATTTTTCATAAGAACAATTCTCATTGTGGTGGTGGTGGTGGTTGCTGTTGAGGTTGAGGTTCTTCTTCGGGTTCATAGCCAAGTAAATCAGCCTTCTTTTGAGCTACGCGTTGAGCACGACGCTCGCGAGCAGCCTTGGCCTTTTGGCGATGAGCTTCAGCTTGGTCGCTGTTAAAATGAAGCGAAAACGTTTAAATGATGAAATCCTTCGATTGGGGGAAGACAAAAGAAATGACAAATATTAATTATAAGTATACGTACGCAAGCAACTTGGTACGAGCTTTTTCGGCCTTGGCTTTATGGATATACTCCATCAATACACGTTTGTTTTTAAAAACGTTACCCTTGGACTTCATGTACAGTTTATGATATCTATGAAAAAATAATGAACATAATTTATTAGCATTATAAGACCTTCTTTTAAACCATAATTATATATATACGTACAAATGCTTATCAATCTTTCCGGATTCACGATATTTTCTCAACAAACGTCTAAGTACACGTTGTCTTCTCATCCATAATACAGATTGAGGCATACGTGCATTAGATGTACCCTTTCTTTTACCGGGTCCAGTATGACGACCCTTTCGTTTGGCTTCTAATTTTTGTCTAACACGAAATCTAGAGTGAATTGTTTGCGGCTTTTTTATGATCAAACCATCCTTGATGAGTTTACGGATGTCTTGGCCTGTTAATTGGATTAAAAGTTATTAGCTATAAATAATTGTTAAAAATTGAATTTGATATGTTCATTGAATTGAGTATCCAAATTAAAAAGAATTCATCTGAATAAATTCCAGAATAATTCAAATACTTTTTGAATTCCTTATTAACTTGAATATATATAACTCACGAGAATTAGCGTTAGAGATTTCATTCACTTCGTTTGGATCAAGCCAAACCTTTCTTTTACCACACCCAAGTACGCTAGATGCCAACCTTTTCTGACTCCTCAAGTTCACCCTTTAATTATCATACCCAATTCCAAATAATTTTTTAATGAAAAAAAATTTATTAGTAATATATAAAAATTTCACTAAATTAAAAACAGTTTGCGAATAAACATCCATATCCAATTAAAATTAATAAATAGATAACTCCATACATTTTTTAGTGTTGAAATAGAGGAATATGTCAGACTTTTATATTGTTGGGAAAGGAAGAAGATATCAAAATTTCGATTTTTTTTTAACTTTTTTTTTGTCTTCGAGAATGGTCAATGATTGGTTGATCAAAATTAATAAGCCACTGGTTATTTGTCAATTTTGATCGTTCGGATTTTTGATCGGGTTTTGAGTTGATAAAGATTGGCTGATGGGATTGTGTAACTCGATCAGTGACCCGATTTTCCCGAACTACAGAAAAGTTGAATTTTTTTGATCGTTTTTGTTAACAAGTAAAAAACGCGCTTTCAAAGAAACTATGAATCAAGTACAAAGTAAAGAGAAAACTTCTACTAAACGCACTAATACTTCTAATACTGATTTTACTGACGCTCATAGACCCTTAAAAAAGAAAGTACTTACGCGTTTAACTAGTACAACTCCACGCTTAATTTTGCCCAGACCAGTTCTTGCGGAACAACGGCAACAGCAGGCTCTTCCTCAACAGCAACAAGTTCTTTCTCAACAACTTGTTCTTCCCCTTCCCCAGTTGCAACATAATTTTCCCCAGCAACAACACACTCTTTCTCAACAGCAATATGATCCTCAATTATATAGTTTAACTAATACTTCTCTTCAACAACGAAACTTGAATGAGTCCACTTGAAATAGAAAAGGTGAGTATATATTTTAGAATTTTTAATTACAAAAGGATATTATAAAGGGCTATTAATTAATTTATGAAAAAAAGGATGAGGGTGAGGCGGAGGCGGAGGAAGAAGAAAATTATGATCAAAATCAAGATCCTTCTGATGAAAAATCTGGGAGTAAATGGAAACATGATGAAATTAAGGTTTTACTTGACTATATTCAAGAAAATTACTCAGCTTGGTCTAAAGGAAACAAGTCAAAGTTTTATAATGATATGGCGAAGAATGTTCTACCTAATAAAGAGTCAAATGCAATTAAAAGTAAATATTTCCTTACTTTTTTTCTTATTCTTATTAAATTATTAATATTTTTAATTATTATATTTAAGGTAAACTTGCTCAATTAACAAAGAAGTATGAATCCATTAAGAAACATAATAATCAAACTGGTAAAGAGCGGAAAGATTGGTATTGGTATGATAAAATGGATATGATCTTTGGAATACGTGAAAATCTAAGTCCTTCAGTTTTAGCAAATAAAGAAACAGGAACTGGTATTGAAGAAGAAATTGAAATTAAAAAGGAAAATTGTAAAAAACAAAAACCTAAAAATAATGTTGAAGTTATGGCTGTAGCAATAGCTGAAATGAGTAAAACACGAGAAAGAATTTGGGAAAAAAAAATAGAGATAGAAAAGGAACGGATAGAAGTTGAAAAGAAAAGGTGGGTATATGAAAGAGAAAGGTCAAGAATGGAATTTGAGTTAAGAATAAAAGAAATAGAATTGAAATTGCAAAAAAAAGAATATTGATTTTTGATCAAATTTAATAAAATTTCAATTTAACAACATTAAAATAATTGGTTTATTATTTGATTTCTTTTTAATTCTGCCCTTCTCAAAGAATTTCATTTAAATCATTTAAATTATTATTATTTTCATCATTATCATCACTATTACTATCATTATTATCACTATTATCACTATTATTATCATTATCATCATCATCATCTAAATTGTCTCAACTATCATTATTTATTTATAAAAAATTATATAAAATTATACAACTTTCAGTAAAATGAACTGCTGTTGATATTTTTCTAACATTTAAGTCTTTTAAGCAACTAAATCTATTCTTAAACCTACCAAAAGCATTTTCTATTACTACACGATGTAGAGAATGTTTAACATTAAATTGTATTTACAAATTATTTTCAGGATTAATAAAAGGTTTAATAAGAAAAGAAAATAATGGATATGTTGAATCTTCAAGTAAATAATCCCATCCTTTTATTAATGTAAAAACATTTTGATAAAAAAAAGAATTTTGATATATCTTTGCATCATGAACAGATCCGGGTCAACCTATTTCATAATCAATAAAGACATCACAATGATTAACAATACCTTGATACTAAATTGAATATTTTTTTTATGATTCTAATATATTTCAGGCTGCTTTAATAGAGTAGACCTTAAAATTATATGGATATCATCTACAGCACTAATAATATTATTAAACTCTCCAATATTATGAAATCCTTGATGAACCATTTTTCTTAATTCACCTGTTGATCATTTAACTAACTAATTTTTTAATAAGAGAATTGCAATTATAATTCTTTTATAATATAGATAAACAGTACCTTCTGAAATACTATATCGTAAACATATACCAAAAATTTCATCTTTTGAACCTACTCTTCTTAAAAAAATAGCTAATTGTAATTCAACTGAAGCTTGTTGTCTATTACTATTTGATTGAAAAATTGAATGTGATTTAATTTTTGATAAAAAATTTTGAAAACTTTGAGAATCTATTCTCATAATTCTTTTAAATCTAATATTATCATATTTAGAAACAATTACATACCACCATACTTGAGATTTAGTAATATCATATATACAGACTTCTAAATAATAAGAATCTAATAAAAAACATAATTTAAAAAGAACTACTTCTTCTTCTTCTTCAACCTTAAGCTGTTTTCCAAAATCATTTATCTTATCGTCAAAATCCTCAAAAGCTGATTTAGTTTAATAAAATGCATCAACAATAAATCTTTGATATTTTAATGATATATCATTAATATAAATTATAAAAAAGAAAAAAAAATTTTTTTAATAATATTTTGAAAAAAAATTTTTTATTATACAATCAAAGATCGAAGTACTCAATTTTGACTTTGATCATATATTCAGATTGGTTAACGAATTTTATGATCAAAAGTCTGAACGATCAAAATTAAACTAGCCTAATAAAAAAAAAATTTTTTTAATATTCTCAGTTTTGATTGGTTGATCTGCTTTTGACTAAGAACTAAATCATATTATGTAATACTTTTGTTACGTAAAAGCAGGGACAATGATTTTTTGTGATAATATGAAGTAAATTTTATGTGTGATAAAAGTAAATTTTGTGAAATTTTGTGATTTGACCAGAATTAAGCAAAGTTAGCCAATATTATGACTCATAAATTCTGGTCAAATTTAATGTTTATCAGAATTACAATGATTGTAAATCCTGAATTAGGCCAAAAACTTAAACCAAATTTTGTAATTTTCTGTGAAATTCTGTGATTATAATAAATTATTGTACCTTGCGTTATGTCTCTTTAAATATATCCATAGTGAAAATTTTAAAAAATATACAGTCAGACCTCTCTAAATGTACCCCTTCGGGACCGAGTAAAAGAGTGCATTTAGAGAGGATGTGCATTAATAGAAAATATACATTCTAACAAATTTTTATAATATAATCACTCACCTTTGAACGATCTAATGCTTGAGAATCTGGTAACTACAAGAAGGTAAGTAATTTAATGTTAGATTTTTTGATTGATTAAAAAATAAAAAAATATTAAAATATTTTTTAAT